AATCGCCCAGAAACCATCCGAAAGGGCTTCCAGGCAGTCCAAGAGAGCCCCAAAACGGCACAACACGGGTCCAAGATGGCCCTCAGAGAGCCCCATGGCGGCCCAAGATGGCCCAAAGACACCCTCCGAAGAATTCCAAATCGTGATTCGGTCGTTCAGGGAGACCGCGGTTGGAGGCAGGGTGGCCCGAGGAAGCCCCCGGAGGCCCCCAGAATGCGCCCAGGAGGCCTCCAGAAGGCGTTCAGAAAGCCTGAAACAAATTTTGTGAGGCCCCTAGAGGCTCTCCAAGGAGGAGCCTCCGCAAAAAAGAGCTGAGGAGGATGGGGAGAATGCGCAGGGTATTGCGAAAATAAGGAAAAAGAAGCATGGAGGAAGGATAACGAATAACATTATTATAGCGGCGACGCCGGAAAAGGCAACCAAGAGTTATCGCTAAATTGTCGGCTTGACCTTCCTGCTATTCCGCCTGCATGCCAAACTTCAAGGACCAAGGTGCATGGCGCGAAACGCCACTGCAGTCTTGTATATATATATATATATATATATATATATATGTGTTGCCCCCTCTCCTGGGGCTCGAACCCTTTGTGTGGCACGCGCATTCCTATAGATTGACCCTATCCTGGGGTTCGAGTCCTTCGCATTCTACGCCTGCCCCATACATGGTCCTGACTTGGGGCGCGAATCATTCGTGTCTATCACGCATTCTTACAGACTGACCCCTCCTTTGGCTCGTAACCGTTGCGTTTTACGTGTGTTCCTGTAAAGAGCCCTTCTCCTGAGCCTTGAATCCGTCGCATTGTATGACGGTCCTTTACATTCCCTCTCCCCTAGGGCTCGGACCCGTTTTATTCAACAAGTATTCCTACATCTTGCCCCTTTCCTGGGGCTCGAGCCCTCTCGTTATACGTACCTATACGACCACCCTTCGGGTAATAAGGAGGTTGTGTGGGGGGGGGAGAGGGGGGGGAACAAACATCTGACTCAATCGATCTCACTATCGATCTCACTCAACGGGACACCACGGGACAGAACGGGCCACCACGGGACACCACGGGACACCGCGGGACACCTCTCGATCTCACTATCGGTCTCACTATCGAACTCACTCAACGGGACACCACGGGCCACCACGGGCCTCCACGGGACACCACGGGACATCGCGGGACACCTCTCGACCTCACTATCAGTCTCACTAATGTTCCCACTATCGATCTCACTCAACGGGACACCATAGGACACAACGGGACACCACATCGATCTCATTATCGATCTCACTATCGATCTCACTCAACGGGACATCACTGCACGTCACGGGACACCACGGGACACCTGTCGATCTCAACATCGATCTCACTATCGATCTCACTTTTTGGGACACCACGGGACACCTCCGGGCACCACATCGATCTCAGTATCGATCTCATTATCGATCTCACTCATCGGCGGTGGACAAACCTCCCTTTAGTAAACCTCCCCTTAGTGAAATCGGCCTGGGACCGAAACCGACGGGCCTGGACCCGCAAAAACGACGGCCGCGACGCCCTCTCACGAACCGAAAACGGCCAATTCCTCAATCGACGTGTTAGGGTAGGAGGTTTGTCCACCTCCGAACTCAACAGGACACCACGGGACACCACGGGACACCCGTCGATCTCACCATCGATCTCACTTTTTGGGACACCACGGGACACCTCGGGACACCACATCGATCTCAGTATCGATCTCACTATCGATCTCACTCAACGGGACACCACGGGACACCACGGGACACCACGGGACACCACCGGGACACCACTGGGACACCGCGGGGCACGGGCCGCCGGAGGAGTTACATTTGGTCTGGCCGCGGCCCAGCCACAGGAGAATTTCCTCTCGCCCGCACGCACGACACGAATCCGAAACCGAAATCGATTTCCCGGTAGGGGGAGGGTCTCCGTTTCACGTCGGACTCAACCCCCAACCTCCGATCTGCATATCGATCGCCCTCCTCCTGGGCTCGAGTCCTTTTGTCGATTACGCGCGTTCCTGTAGATTGCCCCCCTCTTCGGGCTCGAATCCTTTAGAATTAACGTACGTTCGTGCCTGTTGCCCCTCTCCTGGGTCTCGGATCCTTCGTGTCTGCGTTTTGCGTATATTCCTACATATTGCCTCTCCTGGGGCTCGAGCCCTGTCATGAGTTTTGTATATCCGTATGGATTACCCCACTCCTGGGGCTCGGATCCTTTTTGTGCTTGGCATGCGTTTGTGTATATAGAGTGCCCTCTTCCTGGGGCTCGGGTCCCTAGCATTCTACGCGTATTCCTATAGACTGCCATTCTACTGTGGCCAAGGGTCCCTGCGTTTACATATATCCCTATAGCTTGCCCCTCTCCTGGACTCGAACCTTTGTGCTTTTACGCGTAATCCTGTAGATGGCCCCTCTCTCAGGGGCTCGGGTCCTTCCTGGCACTTTCCATGGCGCATCTCGTTGCGCGCTCCCCTGGCACATCGCGCGGCGCGCCCCCCGGCACGACCCCTGGCAAGTCCACTGGCACGTTCCGTGGCGCGCCCACGGGCGCGTTGGCGCGTCTCCTGGCGCGTCCCTTGCGACGCCCCGTGGCGCGACGCCCCCCTAGCACCGCCCCTGGCACGCCCCCTCGGCGCGCCCCGTGGCGCGTCCCCTGGCTCGCCCTTTGTCGCGTTCCCTGGCTTGTCCCCTGGCGCGTCCCCTGCCCGTCCTGTGGCGCGCCCCTTGCCGCGTCTCCTGGCTCGTCCTCTGGAGCATCGCCTAGTGCGCCCCTGGCAGATCCCGTGGGGCGTCCACGCGCCCTGCGCTTTGTGCCGCCCCATCCCGCTTCGGAACTGAATGGGACCTTGATCTCGAGCTGATTGAGCGTCCCAGGTGTTTCGGCTGCAACCAGCTCTGGGCAAGCTATGCGCTCAGTCAGATCGAGCTTAAGATCCACATCAATTCGGTCAGGATTCGGATGTTAATGTTGACTTCATCCGAAACGCTATAGAGAACAGCGCAATTGATCACGACATGATGCATTTAATTTCAGCACGACAGAGCACATCATCATAACCTTTGGCACGATACATCACGATCGATACCTTCAGCATTGCAATTGGCCGTCGCCCAATCAGATGTCTTGATGACATTGCAATGCCTCGCAATTCGAAATCAATTTCCAGGCTCGTGGGTCGATCACGTTGGCCAGATATGCTTGGCACCCCTAAAAAGCCAGCGCGCCATCGAAGGGCAGGGCGCGCTTCGTTGCGGACCTGAAGCTAAATCAACAACGGCACAAGCATAAACTCTAGACGGTCCGCGCGGACTTCTTGGATTTGAGCTGGACCCCCTTCCCTGGCGCGCTGAGCGCGCCAGGGGCGGCGCTGGAGGCGCCGCCGGAAGGGGCCCCAGCGCAGATCCAAGAAATCCGCGCGGAACGCCAAATGCAAGCTTCTGTCCGTCGAATGTCCAGGGCCTCCTCACGACCGCGCTGCCCTCACGCTCTGGTGGTCGACCTCTCTGCCTCGGCGGAGGGCTGGCGGAGGGTTGGCGGAAGGCCGGCAGAAGCAGGCTGGTGGCGAGCCCGCCCGCGGACGCCAGCTAAACACGCCCCCCCCAGGAGACGCCCAACATCCCAGACACTCTCGGGCCATGAAAAAATTGTCACTGTTTTCGGCCTCTGGGAGCCCTCGCTGGGCCTCGAAACCGTCAAAACACGGACTGGGGTGGCAAGCCGGTCCTTGGGAATGGCTCGAGACCTCTGGGGGTCGACGTCATGAACAAATCCTAACGTCGGGCGAACCGAGTGTTTCCATTCCTCTTCCGAGACACTCTTCCCTTCGGAGAAGGGTACTCTCCTCCTCCCCTCCCTGAGGTTTTTTGGGGGGCGTGCCGCGATCGGCCAGAGCGTCCAAGACGGCCCAAGATGGCTCCAAGAAGGCCTCCGATGCTCCAAGATGGCCCTCAAGGCGGCTCAAGCTAGCCGAAGATGGTTCAAGATAGCTTCTGACATACCCCTAAAAGGCCCGAGGAGGGCCACAAGACGGTTCCAAGTGCCCTCGAAGCCCCCTCAGGACCCCCCCAAGCGGCTAAACTCTTAAACCACCTACCGACAACCAATGATTTATGCCTTCTCGCCGTTCGCTTCCGATGTGCTTTTGAGGCCTCAGGATTTCCAAGATGGCCCAAGAGAGCCCCAATAGGGGCCCAATCGGACTCCCAGACGGCCCCAAAAGCGTCCACGAGCTGCCCAAGAACGGCCCAAGAGGGCCCCAAGAGGCGATTCCGAGGGCTCTTGGGGAAGGGGGCAGAAATCGTACCCCCCCCCTGTAATCGATGGCCTCCAGGATGGCCTCAAGAGGCCATGGGCTCCCATGAGGGCCCCAAGAGAGCCCTAAGACGGCCTTAAGACGGCCCAGGGATGGCCCGAGGTCATCCAAGGCCACACCCCCTTGCTCGCAGAGATCTCTCTGTTCGTTCTGGCGGTCAGGAAGAGGGGGGGTGCGCGGCATGGCCCAATTCTGCCCCCCTCACCCCGTCCTCGCCCCCCTCTTGGATGCCCCGGGCCTCTGAAGCGCTCAACGTCGCTGACACCCGCCTCTCCCATGGCGCCAGCCTTTCCGTGGTGTGGGCCTCTAGGGATCTCGAGGCCTCTCCCTGGGCACCGGAATTTCACCCAGAGGTCCAGAGACGGATTTCGGGAACCGGGAACTGTCAGAAACCAGCCACCGCTGTTTTCTCGTGACGTCGGGTCCTGGGCCCGGCCCAGGGGGGTCATCACCAGGGGGGTCGCCACATTTGTACAGGAAACGATCCCCCCTGGGCGCCCCAACCCCGCCCCCCCACCAGAACTCCCAGAAATGCTTGAGAGCGCCCGAAACACCGTCGAGCCTCGATTCTCCTCCTCGATGTCCGATTTCCACGAGCTGGTGACCGCACGGGTGGTGACCCCCCTTGGCACTGCACGCTCTCCCTCGACAAGTGAACCCGGCGGGGCGGGGCGGGCCACGCTCCGGGGCGCGCTCCACACGCAGTTCTGCGCGAGCCGGCACCTCGGCGGCGCCCGCGCCGCCCCTCCGCCACAAAGGGGGGGGGGGAGCAGCTTACGGCACCGGCACCAGCATCGCCAGGGCGAGGAAGCGAGGATGAGGGTCGAGTCCATGTGCGGAAGCGGCTGGGGTTGGTGGGTGTGATTCCAGAAGATTCGCCTTCTTCCGCCGCGCTTCCGCTCTGTCTCTCATGCCCGCTCTGCCGCCACCGCTTTCTCTCAAAATAGGGCCCTTGGCTAATTGAGCTACGATCTCTGCCGCGCAGAGTGCGAGAAAACATTATCAGCGATAATATTCCATATCGCAGTGGTAGCTTGGAGCGAGGCTCGCTATCCCGGCCCGCGGGGCCGTACATATTGCAACGACGGCGTCTGCGACACGTCTATCCGCACTGGAAGCGAAGCCCAGCGGTTTCCTCGCGCTGTTGCTCAGTGCCTACGCCAGCGTCAGCGACGCTAGCACCAACGCCTGCTACGCCTACCCTGCCAACTCCTACGCCACCGTCAGCGACGCCAGCACTCACGCCTACTACGCCTTCGACGCAAACTCTCACGCCAGCGTCAACGACGCCAGCAGCAACGCCTACTACGCCTTCGACGCAAACTCTCACGCCAGCGTCAGCGACGCCAGCGCCCACGCCGCCAAGTTCGATTTCTCGCACCCCCAGAACTTCAGCGAAGCCGCCGGATCAAATTTCATATATTTCCAGAACTTCAGCGAAGCCGCCAAGTTCGATTTCCTTAACCCTCAGAACATCAGTGACGCCTCCGGGTTCGATTTCCTTTTCTCCCAGAACATCAGCGACGCCGCCGAATTCGATTTCCCTTACTCCGACTCCCTGTTCGCAAAGATGACGGACATTTCTCTTAATTTCGGACAGTCAGTCATGCCGACATGGAACGGAGATCCCACAAAAGTGGAGAGACTACAAGCAGGAGGTGAAGCTGTGGAAACTCAGCGAGAACTTCTCCGTCACACAGAGTCTCGCCTCGAAGTTCGTGCTCAGGCCCAGCGGGACAGCTAGAACCGCAGCGTTGAATATGACGGAGGAGCAGCTGCACCTGGCAGCTGCAGCGCGCATCGAGGACGCCGACGAGAAGGAGCGCCACCGGAATCAGGTCGGCATCGAAAATGTATTACAGCACTTGGAGGCGAACCTGGGTCAGCAGAAGCCCGTGCAGAAAGGCGAGACCCTCGAGCAGTTTTTCGAATCTACCCAGCATCGCCGACGGAGAGGCGAACGAATGACGGACTGGCTCATCCGCTTCGAGACGGGTCTGCAGCAGCTACGTGAGAACGAGGTCGACCTCAACGCGCTGGACGAAGTAGCGGGATGGTTCCTGCTGCGAAAGGCCGGGCTCACGGCCGAGCGCCGCCAGCGCGTCGTGGGCAACCTGCCCGACGAACGCTGCGGCGAATTACCAGCGCATCCGCGGACTGCTGGCGCGGATGTTCCCGGACATCCAAACTCCGAGCGCCGCGCCGTGCCGCCCTCGAGGCCGCGGAGCAACCAGTCGCGCCCCCACGGCGGCTGGCGCAGCAACGCTTCGCCCAGCCGAGGAGGGCGATCTACTAACGTCGTCGACGAGCCCGCCGACGAGGACGACGAAGAACAAGGGGAGGGCGACGAGGGCGGGGCCGACGCGCAAGACGTCATTCGTCAGGAGCTCGAGGCTTTCAGCGCCTAGCTCGAGTCCTCCAACGTGGACATCTCCGAGCTGTTCGACGGCGACGACTCTGCCAAGGTCGAGTCGGCCGCCGCGGCGGAGCTTGCCGCCATTCCCGGGGCCATGGCCACCATCAGGTCAGCCCAGGAGGCCATGAAGGGCCGCGGCAAGTCGAACAAATCCGCGCCGTCTCGCCGCCCAGCGAAGCTCCGGGACCGGGTCGACCAGCGCAAGATGACGTCGCAGTGCTGGGACTGTGGCGAGACCGGGCACTGGGCAGGAGATAAGGAGCGCCCCGCGCCGGGTGCTCGCAAGTTCGCGCCCAAGGACGGCAAGTCCAAGGGCGGTGGGCAGGGGGGCCGAGGAGGTCGCCCGCAGCGCCAGGCGCACATCACCGAGCAGGTCCAGTTCGCAGACGAAGATGTTGCCCTGCACCCGCAGGGGCCTGCGTCGCCGCCACCTTAGGCCTGCGTCTCAGAGCGGCTGATTCACCCGCCACCTGCCGAACGTGAACGTCGCGATCGGCAACGGGAAGCCCACGGACGAAGGCATCGGCGCGGTGGACACCGCCTGCCTTCTCTGCGTTTCGGGCAGGAAGTGGTACGACAACTACAACGACATCCTCACCAGGATGGGCCTCGCCGACCAGGACCTCGAGGAAACCGAGGGCGAAGTCTGCAGGTTCGGCAACGGAGGCGCTCTCCCGAGCAAGCTGCGCGTCACCGCGCCGCTCGTGCTCTGCGGCGAGGCCGGGCGCATCGTGTTCAGCGTCGTGGACAGCCCCGCGCTTGGCCTGCTCAGTGGCCGCGATTTCATACGGCCTTCCAAGATCGAAATCGCTCTCTGGAAGGGACAAATCCGCATCGGGAACGCCACCCAGAAGCCCATGACGAGCGCCGCGGGCCACCCCGCGATCAAGTTGCAGCCAGAGGACTGGCGAGCCATCAAGGACGCTGGTATGGAGCAGCCCGTAAAGCCAGCCAGCCGACCAAAGGTGAGCGACGAACCCACGGTCAACGCCGCGATTAAGATCGGCATGCTGATCGATACGATTAACAAGCTCGTCACGAAGGAGGAGCTGGACGTCCAGAGGCGACTCCAGCCTCGTCGACCGAAAGGGTCACGGCTTCTGTCTGCCGTGGCTTCAGCTCTGGTTAGCTGCTCCACCGCAGCGCCGGCTCAGAGCCTCACGTTGACGACGCTGCCGCAGGCCACCTCCCCCACAACGTGCCGTGACCGAGCCGCTGCAGGACTGCATCGCCTGTGGCGAGAAGGCCTACTAGGTCTGCAGCCACCTGGGGTTCTGCTCGGACTGCATTTTCGGTGCGCCCGTGACTCTGGGCTACGACCAGGGACATGGTGGCATCACGGACGCCAGCCCCGGGCCCGCGGTCAACATCGCGGAGGAGGAGCAGCCGCGCGTGCGGACGCTCAACAAGGGGACGAAGCCGCAGCTGATCGCAGGCAAGCGAGCGGCGATCGTCGCCGGAAAGAGCGGCATCCAGCCGCATCAAATCAGCCAGGCTTGGGTCACCAACCTGGCGAAATCTATTGCCATATCCAACTCGACCTCCACAGCGAACAGCACCGTGCTTTACGAGTGGTGCTGCAGACCAGACAGTCGGCTCCGTGCTACCTGGAGGAAGAAGGGAGAAGCTGCTGCCAGGTGCGGTCTTCCAGGCTACGACCTCTCTAAACGGTCCGTGGTCAACAAGCTGGAGGACAGGATCAGGTCCAACCTTGCCAGTGGCACGAGTGTGCGAGTCCACGCTGCATTTCCTTGCCAGCCGTGGACCTCATTACCGCGACTTGTCGTGAAGATCGACCCGAGTAAGATCCCGCAGCTCAAGAAGGACCAGGCCAAGTCCAAGCTCATGCTCGGACTGCTTCTGCAGGCCATGCCCCGGCTGCGCAAGGAGTTCGGCGCCCAGCTCGCCGTCTCGTTCGAGTGGCCAAGATGCTGCGACGGATGGGGCCCTGACAAGAACTCGACCGCCAAGCAGCTGAAGGAGCAGCTCCCGCGAGTCATAGACTTCAACGGCTGCGCGTTCGACCTCGCGACGAAGAAGGGCGCCCACATCAAGAAGCCGTGGAAGGTCATCACCAACCACTACGGGTTTGACGACTCGCTCAGAAGGCTCTGCGATGGGTCGCATCCCCACGCCGAGGATCGCGGCAGTATCGCGAAGAACAGCGAGAACTACACGCGCAAGCTCGCGATGGTGTTGGCCGAACAACTGCAGCCGCCAAACCGCCGACCCCTACGCGAAACACACCCGACAGCACGATGGGCGAGCAGGAGGACGGTTCCGGCCGCCGCAGCCGCACAGGAACCAGCGCTCACGGCTGCGGAGGAGCGGACGCTCAAGTCCGCCGCGATGCAGCTCCACGTGAATACGGGGCACCCGTCCAACGACTCGCTTGCACGAGCTATCCGCGTGACAGGCGGATCGCAGAGATCCATAATGATGGCTCTCAACCTCTTCTGTGAGGTCTGTGCAGCACATCAACGGGCACTGCCGCACCTGCCAGGCAGGACCAGACTGGGCTGGGATTTCAACGGCTCCATCGGAGTGGACCTCTTTACCCTGGCCGGCTACGCGGGCAACGTGGCCGACCTGACCTCGGGTTTCACGATGTGCGGCACGGTTGCCTCAAGGCGCCCACCCGCTGCATTCGCTCGACTGCTGCAGATTTGGATCACGCCTTTCGGCGCGCCTCAACGCGTCATATTCGATGGAGGAGGCGAGTTCGGGCGAGAGTTCTCCAAGGAGCTGGGGGACACGGGCTGCCGTCTGATGACCACCTCTGCGGCTGCGCCGCAGCAGAATGCTACCGTGGAGCGACATGGGGGGATGTGGGAGGTGCACGCGGGGAAGCCGATCGACGTGTTCAGCATCAGGTTCGACCGGCCCGAGATCGCCCACGTGGTCCAGTGGCTGATCGCCTCCGTGCGCCGGGGTCAACTCCGCGGGCTACTCGCCGTCGCAGTGGGTGCTCGGGCGAGGCCTTCGGCCCCCCTACTGCCTGCTGGACAACGAAGGCAGGCTTTCCCTGCGCGAGCGCATCGAGTCCGACAAGTTTCTCAGAGAGGACCGCCATCGTGAAGGCCGCGCAGATCTCCGCACAGCTGGAATTCAACCAGTCCCTCTCGAGAGCGCTGCAGGCCCGGTCTCGGGCAGATGGAGCTCAGCACGCCAGCGACGTCTACCAGACTGGTGACCAGGTGTACTACTGGAGGGGCGACGGCAAGCACAAGCGAGAATGGGCTTTGCAGTGGCGCGGGCCCGGCGTCATCATCGGGTTCGAGGGTGCCTCGCGCGTCTGGGTCAGCCA